GGAAACCTGCAGGAATCAGGCAGCCACAAACCAACAAAAGACAACTTGGGCTGCAACCAACATGGTCACAAGGGTGGAGCTACTCAAGCCTTTGGAGAAGACATCATGCCTTGTGCACAGAGCTAAAGGACTTGTTTGTCCAGCTGGATTTTGGTGTTGCTTTAGTCCCATCCCTTCTTTCTATGCCCCTATTTTATGAATGGAAATGTTTACTCTGTACCATTATATGCTAGATACTTGAAAACTGCTTTTAATTTTACATGAGCTTACAATGTGAGATTGCCTTGAGCCTCAGAGAAGACTTTGGACTTGAACTTTGAGCAATCTTGAAACTGTTGAGACTATGGGAATAGACTAAATGTATCTTAAATTGTCAGATGAGTGTGAGCTTTTGGGGATCCAGGGCAGAATGTTATGGTCTAGATRTGAGGGGTCCCCAAAACCTCATGCACGGACTAAGTGAGAAAGTTCAGATAAGAAATGATTAGGTTAAGAGAGCCTTAAACAAATCAGTGTATTAACCACCTGRTGGGATTCAGTGGTAACTGAAGGCAGGTGGGATGTGGATGGAGGAAGTGGGGCTTTGGGGGCGTGGCTCTGGGGTATATATATTTTTATCTCTTTGCCTCTTGATCATCATATGAACAGRTTCTTTCCACTACACTCTTCCACCATGATGTTCTACCTCACTTCAAGCCCCAACTAATGCAGCTACCTTCTATGGATTAAGACTTCTGAAACCATGAGCCCTCAAATAAACTTTTCCTCTTCTACAATTGTTCTGGGTTGGGTCTTTTAGTAGCAGCAGTGAAAAAGCTGACTAAAACAAGGGCACAGCCCCAATGAAGGCATGTAATTCTAAAGCTCCCACTAGGCTCCACTTCCTAGAGATTCCACCACATCTCAATGGTGCAACTGGCTGGGGACCAGGCTTTCAATACATGGGTCTTTGGAGGACATTCAAGATCAAACTATAGCAATACCTGTTAGCATAAATCAGTTTGTGAATTGACCCTAATTGCATTCTTACAATTTAGAGAAATGCATCTTATTTTCTTATTGAAAGATTATGAATATTACAAAAACAAAGTATTCTTAAATACCACTGAAGAGTCTCCTGTTGGAATAACTCAAGCCTTTAGCTCTCTTAGCCACCACCAGCCATCATGGTCTTATCTGTAGTAAATTGTATAGGCAGATATTTTACTTTTGTAAAGAAAACTTTTCTTCAGAGATTCCAATCCAGATTCTTAATACTCCATTTGAACAGTCTGCTAAATTCATTAGATTTGGATGATCCCAATAAAACAACTATCCATTATGCTCAACCACCAACAAAAATGAAAGGCCCTGGGCTGTGGTTGTGCTCAGTAGCAGAGCATTTGCCTAACGTGTGAGGCATTGGGTTTGATTCTTAGCATCACATAATAAAAAAAGAAAGGCATTCTGTCCATTCACAGCTACAGGGGGTGGGTGGATAGGGGAGAAGGGCCCTTTTGGTAAACTATTTTTAGAAGTGCTAAATTCTTTTTCTTTCTTTCTTTCTTTTTGGACGCAGAGGAGCTTAACACTGAGCCACATCCCACATCCCCAACCCTTTTTTTTTTTTAATATTTATTTTTTACCTTTAGGTGGACACAAAATCTTTATTTTATTTTTATGTGGTGCTGAGGATTGAACCCAGTGCCTCAGGTATGCCAGGTGAGCGTGCTACTACTTGAACCATATCCTCAGCCCCCCCAACCCTTTTTTTTTTTATTGTTGGTAGTTCAAAACATTACATCTAATTTGATATATTTCACAGTTTGATTCAAAAGGGTTATGAACCCCAACCCTTTTTWATTTTTCATTCTGAGACAGGTCTTAATATGCTTAGGGCCTTGTCAAATTGCTGAGTCTGGCTTTAAAGTTGCAATCCTCCTGCCTCAGCCTCCCAAGGGGCTGGGATTACAGGCATGAGTCACTGTGCCCATAGAAATTGTAGCCTTGGCAAAAATAGAGTAGTGGATTCAGAGGGCCAGTAGCTCAGGGATATAAGTCAACTAACTATTCTACCCCAAACTGGAGGTTTGGCCACATACAGTCTGAAGGACACTGAATGCCAGACTAATTTCTCAGCCTACAACTAAGAAGCACTGTCAGCGTTCCCGGCAATTTAAACACTCAGGTTATTCCAGGGGAACTGAAATAACTGGGCTCCGCAAAATAACCACACAAGAGACAGAAATACCTTTTTCTTTGGTGTGCTGTGATGGCTCCTCTGACCTTAAGGGTCTGCAGAAAGAGAGACAGAGAGAGCAGGAGCACGTGCTGACCCCTTTTATGGAGAAGCCATTCAAATAAGGCAAGGGGTCAGGTTTCAAGGGGCTGAGTCTAGCTTCATGTCTGCTGTCAGCAGGCTGACTGACCTCTAGGTAGGCCACACCCAAGGGCAGAGTAAGAGAAGGGGACACACAAAAGGCGTTTCCATGGAACATTCTATCCTAAATAGGGCAAGAGGTAATATCATAAAGGAACAGGTGAGCATAGCTCCACCCATGGGGATGTAGGAAGCCACGCCCATGCATGAACACACAGTCGCTGGACCCTAAAGAATGGGGCTACCATCTGGGTTACCTAGGCAACCAGATCACAGAGATGCCACACCAATCAGAAGAGGAGACAAATGTGGTCATGTGCTAGTTTGGCCTCCCACAAAGTACATTCAAATACACAGAATGAAAGGTGTCCCCTTCATGCACTTCTATCTTTATTATATTCTCCATTGTTCACACAATGGTATACAATAGTTATATTGCCATAAATTTGGGTTCCAAATTTGAAGCTAAGTCCTATGTCATTTCCTCCTAATTCCCCTTCCTTGGTTATTGTCTATAGGAGTTACTACAGATCTTTGTATTCTCCAGTCCTTTATTCTACTCTGTATGACACTGTGACTGTAATTTCTCAGAGAATATAGCACCTAGCAAGTATTAATTTATCTTTCAACCCTTTCACTCATAAATGTGTATACACRTACACTTTTTTTTTTTTTTTTAATTTTGTAGTACTGACTTCCTAGTGGTTAATTGTAAGGGACTGCTGCAAAGTTTTGGTTACCTTAGTTAACCCCTTCAAAGGCTCAGGGCATTTTTGACTTCTCTGGATTTTAACATACAACAGGAAAAATGGCACTTAATTTCATATTCTTGGGACACTTATGTTTTGCTTTATTAATTATTTACATATTTCAGTGAATCCACAATAAATTTCTATTTATTTACTTATTGTGCTGAGGATGGAACCCAGGGCCTTAAGACATGCTATAYAAGCACTTTATGACAAAGTCATCCCCCAATCCAATTTCCTTTTTTTATAAACTTAAATTCAAAATCTGTTAGATGCAACATGAAGATAGCATGGGAGGCCTACACAGAAGGGAGTAAGGGAAGAAAATACATTGTTCAAACACTTGTAGCTCCCTGCTTTGCCAGATTTTCTCCTAAGCTCTTTCTTAACGCATTCGTTCCCAACAGTAATCCATGACACAGGTGTCACTATTACTTGGGTTGGTCAGCTTTCTGTTGCTATGACCAAAATACCTAACAAGAACAATTTGGGAGGAAAAATTTATTTTGGGCTCACCACTTCCAGAGATTGGTCCATCACCTCCATTGCTGTGGGCCCAAGGTGAGGCAGAAAATCATAGAAGGGCAGAAGYTGAGCAGTGCTACTGATCTCATGACAGCTAGGAAGCAGAGAAAGAGAAAGGGCCACAGGGAAGATGAACCTTTCCAGGGCACACCCATACTGACCCACCTCCTTCCTCCAGTGATGACCCAGTTAGTCCATTCAAACTAGGATAGACTGATTAGGCTATAGCTCTCATAACCTAATCATTGCACCTCTAAACATTTCTGCATTAACACAGGAGCTTTTGAGGGACACCTTATATCCAAAACATAACATTATCCACTTGAAAACCAAGGCTTCATGAACTTCAGCACTAATTTTTATTTAGTCTGTGATGAAACAAATGTTTTAGATTAATATGGAAGTGATTTGATGGATTGGATGACAAAGAAAAGTAGTTAAGATGCTTGAGAAATTGTGGMTTTAGGTACAAGGCTGGGCAGGAAACAGTGAAAAGACTATTACTTATGAAGATTAGGCAGATTATATAATGGCAAGATAGGAATTACAAGAGAAAAAAAAAGATTTGGAATTTTCAACCAGATTAAACTGCAAACTAATGACAACAGTAGAGAAGTCAAGGAAAAATGGATTAGTTGTATTACGAAGAACATGCTCCACAAAAAAAAATTACTAATAAAATGACTTAGGTATCATAAAGTGTTACAATAGCAAACAAATCTGGAGAGATTAGATATCTCAGCTAAAATCTAGAATCTTCTTCACTGAGCTAAGAAAAATATTCTTAATTCCACTTAGGTTCATGWAGAGATCTACCTTTAGATCAGCTTTCTAGATGGAACGAAAATGGAAAAGACCTCTGAATTATAGATTGTTCACTGAAAGTACAGTGACTATACATGACAGAAATAAAGGTGAATAAATTGGGGTCAATCTAGTGTTTCATTTAAGTATTTTAAAACAACAACAACAACAACAAAAAAACCCCCACAAAATGTTACTTAAAATATTTTAATTTCTAAAAATAATGAAACAATTAGAATTTAAGTAATTTCATTGTACAGCATTTGATAATACATTTCAACAACCAGAAAGGTAAAACAAACCACTTAAATTAGTTAAATTTACTTTCTAAACTTAATAATATCCAAACTCATTTGCCCACCAAGAATATGCAAAAATCGGCACCAGTGAAAGTGCTGATGTAAGTTACTATATTTCAACTGGTAATGACCTATAAGCACATAAGAACTTATTTTTTGGTACTTGGGATCAAAGCCAGGGCTTTGCTCATACTAAGCATGCCTTGTACCACCTTATATTATACTCCCAACACTACAGTACATAGGAATTTTTTTCAAAAGACAATCTGATGAAATCCATAATCAACTGAAATTTCCATTTTATTCTGTTGTGAAAAAAACAGAAGCCATCAATAATATCAATGGTATCAACAGAAGAGATTATTYGCCTAGTCTGTGCTCAAAAAGAACAGTCATCTTGTTGAAAGGATATGATCTTTTCAAACTTAGTTCTTTTTCATTTGTTTACAAATAAAATGCTTCAGCTGACATTCTGACAATTTGTTCTGTACATGGCTGAGTCTTCCAGGTTCTCATTACACAGCCATTTATGGGCATAATCTTCTGAACACTGTATAGTTTGAAAAAGTTGTTTAAAGTTTCGAGGATACATATTAATTGTTTTTACATCTTCATTTTTTCTTATTTGCCTCAATATATGCTTGGCATCAACTGGACTCAATGAACTGCAAAATAAATACAAAGTAAATCTGCTTAATTCTTTTTCATAATAACTGTCAATTAATATTGATAAAGCTGGCCTCTAGCCCAATTTAAAATACAAGTATATATACATATATACACATACACACACATGTATTTATACATACATTAAGCTTATTTAGTTTAAGAGCTTGAATATAACATGTATAATTTTATTTGTTCCTAAGGTTTCACAGCTAACCTGTAATGAAAATAGCAGATTAGGCTGGGCATGGTGGTGCACATCTGTTATCTCAGTGGCTCAGGAGGCTGAGACAGGAAAATCCTGAGTTCAAAGCCAGTCTCAGCAAAAGTGAGGTGCTAAGCAACTTAGTGAGACCCTGTTTCTAAATAAAATATAAAATAGGGCTGGGTATGTGGCTCAGTGGTCAAGTGCCCCTGAGTTCAATCCCTGGTACCCAGATCAGATTAGGCTTTAACATAATTTAATCAATATCAATTATTTTCTTTTTTAAAAATATTTTTTAGTGTTGATGGACCTTTATTTTATTCATTTATTTATATACAGTGCTGAGAACTGAACCCAGTGACTCACACAAGTGAGGCTGAGCCACAACCCCAGCCCCTAATTATTTTCTTTTCGGGGATAGGGAGGATACTGAGGATTGAACTCAGGGTGTTCCACCACTGAGCTACATGTCTAATCCTTTTTATTTTGAGACAGGGCCTTACTAAGTTGCCAAGGCTGGCCTTGAAGTAGAGATCCTCCTATCTTAGCCTCCTGACTGGCTGGGATTATAGGTGTGCACAACCATGCCTCGTTGTAGTCAATTCTTACACAAAATTCTCGTTCAGTTTTAACTTAAAAAAAAAAAAAAAAAAAAAGAAAAAAGAGAAAACAATTTTTGTGGGGCTGAGAGTGTGAGATCATTTCCCTAGTATATAAAAGGCCCTGGGTTTGATCCCCAGCATTGCCATAAATAAATAAAAATTCTGACTACTTCTTTCATCTTTTTACTCTCTTACTCTGGTTTTGGGGATTAAATACAGGACCTCATACATCATAAGCACATACTTTACCTCTGAGCTATACCTCCCAGCCCTGCAAAAATGTTACTAACTCCATTTCAGTTCATGTAAAAGTTCAAATACAAACAGCACAAGTTGACAGGTGATTTTTTTAAGGAGGAAATTATTTTTCACATTTTTGCAGGGTGGGGAGGGGTGGAGTACTGGGGATTGAATCCAGAAGTGTTTAAGTACTGAGTCACCTCTCCAACCCTTTTTATATTTTGAGACAGTATCTTGCTAAGTTGCTTAGGAATTCACATTTCATGTAGCAATCACTGGCAAATAAATTATAAAGTAGAGAACTTTCTCATACATAACCTTAGCAAGAAACTATCAATAAACCTCTGATAGAAAGAAAACAATTTTAGTAAAATATTTTTGTGGAAAATATTTCCAATACCTTTTTAATATTGAATAAAAAATCTTATGTTAGCAATATCCAAGGGAATTTTTAACATTTTATACCATGATTTACCAGTTATTCCTTGTTTTTCTATTTTCTTGATATTTGCATTCAAAATAGCCACAACCACAAATAGCAAGATGAAAAATAGTAGGTTACTATTACTGATCTAATGCCACTTTTAACATTTTAATTTTTATTTTTTATAGTATTGCTGATAGAACSCAGGGACATTTTACCACTGAGCTACATCCCCGACATCTCCCTTTTTCAATATTTTYTTATTTTTAATTTTTTTTAGTTGTAGATAGACACAAAATCTTTATTTWATTTATTTATTTATTTTTTAATGTTGTGCTGGYGATCAAACCCTGTGCCTCACATGTGCTAGATAAGCACTTTACCACTGAGCCACAACCTCAACCCCTCCAACCCTTTTTATTTGTTAAAGCACCTGACTTTAAAATACATTTTTATATTAACGATGTGCAGTCAGTTAATTCAGAGTTATATACTAAATAATTAAAGTAATTATTTTAACATTTTTYTCATCTTCTGACAATACTCTGAATGAATATGGGCTGATGAATACAAGGTGCAGTGTAGGACTTTATACATTAGCCCTATATAAAAATTATATAGATACACGTGTAGCTAATATAAAAATAAATAAATAAAATAAAAAATAAAAAAAGTTATATAGATACAAAGTAGGTAATAACAGCATAATTTTTATAAATATTTAAATTGAAACATAAAATCTGTTCCACAGCAAAAAGAATGGTGTGGTACAATTATTCATTCTTATTGTGTTAGGAAATAGAACCAGTGAGGACAGGTAGCAATAAAAGGCAGATGGCAGGTTTGCCAACAGCAATTCTGATTCTCCATCCCAGCTAATGGTGAACATTGGGTTGTTCCTATAGGTTACAGTCTGGCCTATATTTTGATAAAGATAAAACAAATTGTGGGCTTCCTTGTTTGCTTTTTAAAGAARGAAAGTCAATGAAGTTCAGTGGGAGGATATGTAGAAAAAAATATGATAATATTTTTCTCAAAAAGTYTTTCAGGGAGAAGGAAGTATTTTCCAGAAATATTTAAGTGAAATATGGGTACACCTATTCATATAGAGTTCTAACAAAATACTGTCACAATAAATTGCTACTTTTGTACTTGTATTTATTCTTTGTACTTACTGTAAATGATCTACTAGCTTGGCATTGCGCTTCCCAAAACAGTGCTTTACCATATGAAAAAATACATCATAGTTAACGGGAGTCAACTCTTCTGTAAATAAAGTTTTTCGAGGAGTCATTTGAATAAAATACAGGTTCTGWTGTATTGGTTCTAATGGTTCCTAGAGAGAAGGGAAAATAAACTGTGTCAATGATAAAATATTATCAGAGCAAAGCACTGTTCACTTATTCCTTCTAGCTATTTGTTGGAAAATACAATCACCACAGTCCCTGAATGTCTCTGGATTTTCTCTTTGGACATGAAAGCATGAATACAAAGCCCTCACTTGGGGCTGGGGATGTGGCTCAAGCGGTAGCGCGCTCGCCTGGCATGTGTGCGGCCCGGGTTCGATCCTCAGCACCACATACAAACAAAGATGCTGTGTCCGCCAAAAACTAGAAAATAAATATTAAAAAAAAAAAAAAAAAAAGCCCTCACTTTTCTTTACCTGGGTCATTTCTCAAAGTTGTTTGCAGTGAGCAACTTTAAGAGATGAGACAATGCCTCTCTCCAGAACAAAGAGGAGGACTGCTTATTGTTTGCTATAAAAGAAGTGTTTCCTGAGGCTGAGGTTGTGGCTCAACAGTAGAGCGCTTGCCTAGCACATTCGAGGTGCTAGGTTTGATCCTCAGCACCACATAAAAATAAATAAATAAAATAACGATATTGTGTCCAACCACAACTTAAAAAAAAAAAAAAAGTGACTCCTCCAGATCTGTATCCCTCAGCTGCCCACTATATTCACAGCATACAACTGAGCCACATCACATCACTCCATGGGCTGGAGGTACAAAGTTTTCTATGTAATTAAGAAGTTGTGTTTCCTTGGCCAGCATCTGCAAAACAGTAACATGTACCAATTCCCTACTATATTCAAAGTATGCCACCATGACCGCTAGATCTAAAGATAAGAAAACATCATTGACACAAGATGTGGTGGCGTATGTGTACAATACTAGTTACTCGGGAGGCTGACACAGGAGGATTTCAAGTTTAACACCAGCCTGAGCAATTTACCAAGACCCTGTCTCAAAAAATTTTCAAAGGGGGTTGGGGACATATATCAGTTGTAGAACCCTTCCCTAACATGTACAAAGCTCGTGATTCATTCCCC